TTGGATTCTTCAACACCTCTAGTTTTGACTTTCTAAACTTTTCTCATTGAATCATACTTCTTGAATAATATCTTCTAATTCTAACCTCTCCGATTACTTCTAATACCTTTACTACCTCTTCTACTATTGGATTTGAATTGACAATTATATCTCTGTGCTGATGTGGTATGGCAACATGAACTGATGTACTTACGTACGAAGTTCTACGTTGCATCTGACTGACTGACTAGTGAGCACATTTTACGATATTTTTCAATTAGAGTTATGGAGAATAATCTCATACCAGGACGAAACGGCCGTCTGTTAGTGTTTCCAGGTTTCTAATGGTATGGTCTAACAATGATTGATTGATGATTTCAAATGTGTAATTACCTGTTAAATCAAATTTTCACTTATCTAACTTTTCAATGGTGAATTTGATCATTGATATTTCATGAATATATTTTTTTATTTTGCATTGAGCTAAATGTTTCTTATACAGAAATTTGTATTTTTGCGTTTTAATTAATAGAAAAATAAGAATGGTATCTTCTAATTAATATGATTGTTTCTGCTTTTTCTTTGTCAGTCTTCGAAGAACTGCCAAACCGAATTTAGAAAATGAATATCATTTGGAGAATTCTTTAAAATTATCCATTTTAGAAGCAAGAAATATTCCAGCCAAGCGTCGGTAATTTTTTACATGTATTTTTCTATGTAGTTGATATGTAATTGATATTATGGATTGTGTATAGTATATACTGTTGTAATGTTGTTCAATTGATGAAGTATTGAAACTGCATCGGTTGAGGTGGTCTGGACGTGTATTACGACGTATGCCTAACCACGAACTGCCTCGACAAGCTATGTTTTGTGGTGTAGGAGTAGGTTAGACGAAAGCTAGGGGCGACCAAACCAAAACATGGCAGAAATTCATGAAGTGTCACTGACAAGTAAACTGAGCCATGTTGTAATCCGCGAAATCTCAGCACGGATACAGAAGGCTCGATCGGCTTTAGCCAACCTGCGTCATTTATGGCGAAGGCGAGATATCCATTTGCTGACTAAAGGACGAGTGTACTGCGCAGTAGTTCGCTCCTTTCTCATATATGGCTGTGAAACATGGCTGTTAAGAGTAGAAGATATTCGTAGGTTGCTTGTTTTCGATCATAGCTGCCTTCGAAGCATTGCTCGTATATCATGAGACAACCGAAGAAGCAACGCTATTATTAGGAAACGGGTGCTGAGTAAGAATGGCGGATCAATAGATGAAGTAGTGTAACTTGATCAGTTGAGGTGGTTGGGACATGTGTTACGTATGCCTAACCACCGACTAACTCGTCGAGCTATATTTTGCGGTGTAGGAATAGGTTGGAAGAAAGCTAGGGGCGGCCAGACCAAAATATGGCACAAGTCCATGAAGGCACTGACAAGTGGACCGAACCATGTTGTTAAGTGTAGAATACCTGGTTGGGTCCTACGAGATAATAGTAATCGATGGTTGACACAGCTAAAAACCGTTTGCAATGGAGTAGGTGCATTCATTCTTTGTGTTCTTTCAAATCCTAATCCTCTACATTCTACATCATCTTAATCTTTTTCTTTTCAAATTTATTTCACTAGATTCTACTTCTTGAATAATATCTTCTAATCCTAATCTCTCTGATTATTGCTAATACCTTCATTACCTCTACTACTATGGGATTTGAATTGACAATTACATCTCTGTGTTAATGTAGTATGGCCACATGAACTGATTTACGTACATACGTACGAAGTTCTGTGTTGCTATTGACTGATTGATTGATTGATTTCAGTGTACATCCAAACTCATACCGGCGATCAAACCCCAGAACATTCAAGTTCGACCATTCTGTGATTTGCTTTTTTAAATTCAATCAACTAGCAATTATTTGGATACCTTCCATTTATCTTGTAGTAGTACTTAATTAATTACACTTGTTACCCCCAATCAAATATAGGCCATTGACCAACATTCTCCAGCCTAATATCTCCTCGACCTTCCTTTCCAGTTCTGTCCATTTTTCGTTTATTCTTCTCATGTCTATGTCCGTTTCTCAGCGTTGTGTTCCTTGGTCTTCTTCTGTTCCTGTGGCTTTGAGGATTCCAAGTAACGGCTTGTCTTGTGACAGTTTGGTGCCTTACACAATGTGTATCCTATTCGCTTCTATCTCTTCCACCTGATTTCCTCCTCCGCTGCAATCTTGATTGTTCTCTCCTACAGTAGATTGCTACTGATAGTGTCTGGCCAACGGATTGGAAGCATTTTGCATAGAAACAACGAATGTTAGTCCTGTACGGCTTTTTTTTTTCATACCACGGCACCATGTTATGCAGTAACTATCACCTCTTATTCTTTTTCAACCAGTTGCAGAGTCGAAAAATAATGCCTGATATGAAATAGGCTGAGAGGAAATTTGTCTTTCATATTGGCTGCTAACGAAGTTGGTTTTTTAAGATGATGACATCAACTGATTTTTGTCACAGTGCTTGAACACATATTTCTGAACCTTTTCATTACTAACATGGTCTTGCCATTGGATGTTAGCAATTCTTTAGAGATACTGATAATCGAACACGGATCCCTTCAATATCCACAATTCAAAGAGTCTAGGCTTCACAAGCGGAAAACAAGACTACTCTCAGGGACGCATTGTAGACCCGACGTGTTACAGCTAGACTAACATCACGAAGCCGCCACGGCCTTCATCACACATAAATTGATCTCATCCATGACGCCACCACCGGGACCAACAGAGCTAGCTACCCTAACATATGACCTTTTTTGTTACTTCTATCTGCTCACTATCATGAGTAAGTGAAGATTCAACGTCTTGTCACTCATGTAAAAGTGCTTTGCAAAACAAATTTCATACCTATAGTCACTGAGTTTTAAGTGATTAAGTGTGGATTGTATCTCTTGCGTATGAGATCACACAGTAAGAAAATATATCACCAGCATACTCGAGATTGGAAAGTCTTTGTCCAGGTAACAGATCCACACTATCATTACCTACATCCATTAGAGCTGCTTTCAGAACGTCTTTAGTGGCAACGTTGAAGAGGAATAATGAGATTCGGCAACTCTATCTAACTCCACTGCTTGAATGAAACAATAGAGGATGGTAGTTGTACGTCCTCACTCTGCTTGTTGTGTTTGTATGCAGAACCTTCAAGATGTTAGTATACTTCTTAGGCACACCATTTTTCAAAAGAGCATCTGATAGAACAAAGCTATCCGACAAATCGAAAGTCTGTAAGAGGTATGGCGTTGTTCTAACATTTGACCAAAACGAATACCAGCCTGCGTTTTGTGAGTTAACCCTTTCCGGGTGTTGAACAATTTGCAAAGTTTGACGGAAGCCATTAATTTAGGCGTAATCTGAATTAGACTTTTCCCTTATTAGATTTTGCATAGGTAGCATAAATCTTTTCTAAATATCGAGAAGACTACCGACTCATTCCAGGATTTTTCAATTAGAGCTATGTAGGTTGGTAGTTTTTGCACATTGAAATCACCAATCAATTATTGTTGGAGGTTGGGCGTTCGCCCACAAAACCGAAGGTCCTGGGTTCGAATTTTGCCACTGGCAGGAGTCGTGGATGAGCACTGTCTCTGGTGAGTCACATACCAGGACGAAGCGGTCGTCTTTCAGTGCTTCCAGGTTTCTAATGGTGGTCTAACAATAATTAATTGATGATTTCATCCTAGGATGCTGGATATGTCTGCAAACTCAATTCCATAAATCCAAAAACTTGCCACTATCCTCAAAAAGAATGATACTGTCTGAATTATATGATTGCGTACTACACTTACCTTGCAAATACCTACAGTCATTTCTTTATCTGTGTAGTGTCTGTAAGCAACTGTCACCATTCGATATTCTGGATGGCTTGGCATTACTGTAGCAAGTATTGCTAAACAGTCCATTTACAAAATTGGTTAGCAAGGCGATCGATCTCATTAGTACTGGTGCTGGTTGTGTTGCAACCATCTCAAGGGCCATTGTCATTGCGGTGCTGTATTGCATATCATCATTGCTAATAATAATGAGTTTGACAGTCCTGTAAGCGTAATAGGTCGAAATGGTCTGTTCGCGCGGTGCATATTGATTGACGCGATCATAGATCGGAAATAATCACTATGACTATATGTACTAGTGTATATAGATGGTGTGGATGGTGTTGGGGATATTAGATCCTCAAAACTCGCTTGATAAATGCCTTATTTTGAGTTTTGACGTTTGCGAGCATGGGATGATCAGTTGACCTTGAGATTTCACTTCCCACCAGGAAAATCCATGGCTGTGATTGGCCGCTGTGTATTTTAGTGTGCTATTTTCTTAACTGTCCCAAGGACGTTTGTAGGATATATAAATAAACGAGAGTTGTATGCTTGATTATACTGTGATTGCTGGGTGTTTGTAGAATATACTTTCTACGCTTACAAAGCCTTTTTACTTCAGCTTGGGATTCAAGGTAGCCTATCTGAACGCTGGTAATTGTTTCTTTCGCGTTTATCGACTAAGGTAAACTCGTAATAGCCTCAAGCATACTTAGTGACGAACATATTAGATGGTCCACCAGGGTATCAAGTACCTGTGTGGTTGCATCACACGATTAAGCCGAACTGTTCATGTCAAAATGATAACATGTAAGCAGTCTCCTTAGTTCTCCTGAAAAAAACCAATGTAAAATTGCCCTTGACAAATAGTGGCTTAATTTATATAATTGTGAATAATTGTTCAATATATATATTTTGGAGCACAGTTTTGGAAGCTTACGTTTTTATACATTTGAGATCATCAATCAATCATTGTTAGACCACCATTAGGAACCTGGAGGCGCCGGACGGCCGTTTCGTCCTGGTTTGGGACTCATTAGCAGTGCGCATCCACGACTCCTGCTCGCCGCAGGATTCAAACCCGGGACCTTCGGCATTGTAGGCGAACGCCTTACCATCGAACCACTCGGCCGGCATCCAACGGTGTTACAGTCTAACTCTGATTGATCTAGGGATTTTGCGCGACCTCACCGATATGTCTTTAGTAGTTACTGTCTACACCCGACAGGGTTGAACTCCATTGATCACGTCTTCTCAACTAGAACTCCGAGAATTTCCTCACGAAGCTAGTCACTAGTGAGCACTGTTACGATATTTTTGGGCAGAGTTTTGGAGGTTTGCGTTTTTACACATTTGAAATCATCAGTCAATCATTGTTAGACCACTCCGTTAGAAACCTGGAATCACTGGACAAGCGTTTCGTCCTGGTATGGGACTCATCAGTGGCAGTGCGCATCCAATAACAGTTGTGTTTGAATGAAGAAATGTATAAACTTCAAAATGTTTTGTAGATGATTTTTTTTTGGAAAAATCAATTTAGTTATAGTTACTTGTTTTTTTTTTCTAAAAAAAATTTTTGCATAGACTAAACAAAGCCACACATCCCATTTCCTACCATCATCCATCCATCCATCCATCAATCATATTGTTTTCTTTCAAAAAAAGAAAGTGATTATCAGTAATAATGACAACAAACTTTGTTTATTTGTATCCTCCCAAAAAAATATTAGTAAAATATTTTAATGTGTATTATAACTGAATTGCGAAAACAAAGTTGACACTAAAAAAAGTCTATACAATGGAATTCATTCACAGTTAGGTCGATTGTAGTTGGTCAGTTTATTGTAAGTAACATCACATAAACTAATGATACAGTCACTTGTTTGATTGCGTCGGAGGATGATTAGAGAATATTGGACGGGATATTGTTCAGAGTTCAATATATATATATATATATATATATATATATATATATATATATATATATATATATATATATACTGTCCACTCTCCCCATTCTTGTTTAATTTTATCATAGACATGCTCCTAGAAATAACCTTATCCTCGTCTGAATTTTCAGGAGTAGACCTTTTACCTGGTGGCTCGCTTATTGACTTAGAATATGCCGATGACATAGTCCTACTTAGTGAAGACGCTGACAAAATGCAGAGTCTTCTGACTACCCTAAGCAACAATGCAAGCATGTTCGGTATGCGGTTTTCCCCCTCGAAATGCAAAATGTTGCTTCAAGATTGGGTTGCATCGGCATCTGGACTAGTGATAGGGAGTGAAGTAGTTCGGTGTGTTGACCGCTTCACTTATCTTGGGAGTCTGATCGTTTCCGATGGCCTGGGGACTGACGAACTCTCAGCTCGGATACAGAAGGCTCAAATGACTTTTGTCAACTTGCTTCACTTGTGGCGTAGGCGAGATATCAGTTTGCTGACTAAATGACGAGTTTACTGCGCAGTAGTTCGGTCCGTCCTACTTTATGGCTGTGAAACATGGCCAGTTAGAGTAGAAAATATTCGTCGGTTATTGGTTTTCGATCATAGATGTCTTCGAAGCTTTGCTCATATATCCTAGGACACCCGAGTGGGCAACGCTGTTATTTGAATGCGGGTGCTAGGTAAGAATGGCAGACCAATAGATGAAGCTCTGAAACTTCATCAGTTGAGGTGGTCGGTACATGTGCTGCGTATGCCTGACCAGCGACTGCCACGTCGAGCTTTGTTTTGTAGTGTAGGAGTAGATTGGAAGAAAGTTAGAGGCGACCAGACCAAAACATGGCAGCAATCTTTTTTTTTATTGACGAGCGGACTTAGTCATGTCGGTAATTGTCGACTACCTGGTTGGGGTCCGCGAGATGATAATAATCGATGGTTAGAGACCATGAATGACATGGCTCAAAATTGTTCGCAATGGTGCCAGTGCATTTATTCTTTGTGTTCTCTCAAATCCTAATCTTCTAGATTCTTCAACACCTCTAGTTTTGTCTTTCTAAACTTATCTCACTGAATCATACTTCTTGAATAATATCTTCTAATCCTAACCTCTCCGATTACTTCTAATTCCCTTACTACCTCTTCTACTATTGGATTTGAATTGACAATTACATCTCTGCGCTGATGTGGTATGGCAACATGAACTGATGTACTTACGTACGAAGTTCTACGTTGCATCTGACTGACTGACTGATATATAGATACAGTCCAGTAAATGTTAGCTTAATGATCTACAGGTTTGAGGGTAGACAGTCAGACAGATACAACACAGAACTTCTTACGTACGTACATCAGTTCAGGTTGCCATACCGCATTAGCACAGATATGCAAATGTCATTTCAAGTCACATAATGGTAGCAATAGTAAAAGTATTAGCAGTTATGGAGAGAGGACCAGAGTTCGAAGATATGATTCGAGAAGTATAATTCAGTGAGATAAATTTAGAAACAGGAAGACAGATATGATGAGAAATTCAGAAGGTGAGAATTTGAGAGAACACAAAGAATTAATGCACCTGCGCCATTGCAAACGATTCTGAGCCATGTCATTCTCTAACCAACGGTGACTTACGTCTCGCGGACCCCAACCACTCAGTCTACATCTGCATTGAAGGTGAAATCGTTCTCGTTGAAAAATTGTCTTTGGGACTACATTGTTTTCAGTCAGTTACAACTTAGAACTTCTTAGGTATGTTCATCAGTTCATGTTGCCGCAACACATTAGTACAGAGACGCAATTGTCAATTGGAATCCCATAGTGGTAGAGGTAGTAGAAGTATTAGCAGTAATTGAACACTTATTATTCGAGTTGTATACTCAAGTGGAATCAGTTAAGAAGAAGAGAAAAGACGATCATGAGAAATTCGGAAGATTAGAATTTCAGAGAGCATAAACAATGGATGCACCTGCACCAGTGCAAACGGTTTTGAGCCATGTCATTCAAAGTCTGTAACCATCGGTTACTACAAACTCACAGATCCTGACTTCGTAGTTTACACCTACTAACATGACTCACTTCAGCTGTCAGTGACTTCATGGATTCTCTCCGTGTTTTGATTTGGCCACCCTTAGCTTCCATCTAACTTATTACTACACCACACAACGTAGCTCATCGAGGCAGTCGGTGGTTGGACATTAGTAACACGTGCCCCAACCATGTCAACTGATGAAGTTTTAACACTTCATCAATTGATCTGCCATTCTTACCTAGTATCTGTATCCTGACAACAGCAGTGCTTATTCTATGGTCTCAGGATATACAAGCAATGGTTCGAAGACACCTATGCTCGGAAACTAGTAACCTAAGAATAGCCTCAACTCTTACTGACCATATTTCACACCGATATAGTAGGATGGAGCGAATTGCTGTGCAGTAAACTCGTGCTTTGGTTAACAGATGGATATCTCGCCTACGCCATAAGTGAGGCAAGTTAGCAAAAGCTAATCGAGCATTTTGTTTCTGTGCTGAGGTTTCGTCAATCACCAGGCTATCAGCACTGATGAGACTTGTGAGGCTAGTGAAGCGGTTGAAACGTTCAACAGCTTCACTCCCAATCACTAGCTCATGTTCCGACGCAAGCCAATCTTGAAGCAACATTTTTCATTTTGAGGGGGAGAATGGCATCCTGAATATGTTTACATTGTTGTTGACTCTGCATTTTGTCAACGTCTTCACCAGACAAAACAATGTCTTCGGCATATTCTAAGTCAGTAAGCGAATCTCTTGGTAGATAAGCCACCTCTGAAAAGTCATACAAAGATAATGTTAACTCTAGAAGCATGGTACAACAAAGTTTTGAAATTTTTAAATGGTTGCCTCATCTAAATCAGTAAATTAATGAAATCCAGTAGTCTCTACAAAATCTCTACTAAATGATGATCATATGCCCCGCTGGTAAATAGCTCCCAGACCCGATTACTAGATTTCTAGTAGAAAACAGTAACTTTTGGGATTCAACCATGACATATGTTAAACCATTACGTATTGTTAGCTATGCCGTGTCAGTTGAGTGATTCCACTGACATGTGGTTTTGTAAATTAAAGTTTACTAGGCTACATCTTCATTCCCACACTTTTTTTTGTTTAATTGAAATAATTACTCGTCACCAGTGTTAAATTGTACTGATGCGGTGTATGTCAAACAGACATATTTTTACTACCTCTAGTAGTACTCTATGGGATTTGAATTGACAGTTGCATCTCTCTGTATGTGCTAATGTGATCTGGCAATTTGAATACTGATATACGTAACGTATGAAGTTCTACATTGCTGTTGTTTGATTGAAACAGACATATTTTCATGTGCATGCGTATACACGTGGATGACTGTTCATTTTATCAAATTATCCTGTGAACGATTCCATAGTAGAATCTTTCTGAAAATGTTCCAAGTACTTTTGTACTATGCTCTTCACAAAACTAGCAATTAAGATTTACTCTCCATGTCTCTTGATTTTGACCATTTATATAAAAATGAAGGAAAGCATGTCAGACTTTGATGAAATACGGATTGTTTGTGTTGTCATTTAGAAACGCTACAATCAATTATTTGGGCTATAATAAATCTAGTAAAGGTATTGTGTATTGCAGTAACTGTATCTGTTTTTGAATGTGAATTTCAGTAAGTCAGTTAGTTGTAACGTAGAACTTCGTACGTATGTACATCAGTTCAGGTTGCCATACTACATTAGCACAAAGAGATACAACTGTCAATTCAAATCCCATAGTAGTAGAGAAAGTAGAAGTATTATTGGCAATCGATAAGATTAAGGTTCAAAGATATGATTCGAAAACTATAATTCAGTGAGATTAATTTAGAAGGAGAAAGATAGAGATGATGACGAATTCAGAAGATTAGGATTTGAGAGAGCTCAAAGAATGGATGCACTTGCGCCATTGCAAACGATTTTGAGCCATGTCGTTCAAGATCTCTAACAATCGGTGACTTTCGTCTCATGGACTCCAACCAGGTACATCTACCAACATGACTCAGTTAACTTGTCAGTGAATTCATGGATTTCTGCCGTGTTTTGGTCTGACCGCCCCTAACTTTCATCCAACCTATCCACGCCCCGCAAAATATAGCTCGACGAGACAGTCGGTGGTTAGGCATACGCAGCACATGTCCCAATCACGTCAACCGATGAAGTTTCAATACTTCATCTATTGATCTACCATCCTTACCTAGTACTCGTGAATTTATGTATAAGAGATTTCTACTAAGGATTTAACAAGAGGTATTATTATATTTCACTCTAATATAATTAATGATTTCAGTACTCTACGCATTATAATTTTAATCACCAGTGTTTGTAATCCATTCAGATTTCGTGTTAAAAAGTACTTTTTTTTTCTAAATATCGTGTTCTTTCTTTTCCTTCAAGTTACTATTGTGATATTTGTTTGGATCGAACTTTATATGCACGTACTACCAGTAAGTTGGCTGTTTCCGGTATATTTTGGGCGGAAGATTTTGATTTAAAGTAAGTTCATGAATAATTTTGTTTTGTTATTTAATTTGTGTAGCTTATTGTCAATTCATATATGGGTTGATACTTGTTTACATAATGTGAGACAACTCAAAGTCTTTAGCTGTTAGAATATTCATCCAATAGCCTAAGAGAATTATTGGTCAATTCCTATTGGTTAATTCCTACTGCTCAATTTTATGGTCGTCCTAGATATCAATGTGTCACGTGCTCCAATGTTGTTTCTTATTGGTCATCTTAACTACCAATGTCACAGACTTCGATGCTGTTTCCTATTCGACCAAAATGTATAAATACGCATTATCTGTAACATTTTATGACCAGGACTGATTCTCTTCTGGACTCGGACCTTGTACTCCTGGATGCTTATAGAATGCAGGTTCTACTTCATATCAAGTCTTCTTATTTTTGTACTCAAAATGGGGGTTGGGATAATCGGATTTGAGTAGCATGTCGTGTCACCGGGTCCTCGATCCTCACTCTCGTTCATCGACTGAGGTAAACTCGTAATAAAGTGCTGCGTATGTCTAACCACGGACTGTCGGTAGTTGTCGAATAACTGGTTGCGGTCCGCGGGATGATAATAATCGATGGTTCTAGACCCTGAATGACATGGCTCAAAATCGTTTGCAATGGCGCCGGTGCATTTATTCTTTGTGTTCTCTCAAATCCTAATCTTCTGGATTCTTCAACACCTTTAGTTTTGACTTTCTAAACTTATCTCACTGAATCATACTTCTTGAATAGTATCTTCTAATCCTAACCTCTCCGATTACTTCTAATACCTTTACTACTATTGGATTTGAATTGAAAATGTGGTATGGCAACATGAACTGATATGCTTACGTACAAAGTTCTACGTTGCATCTGACTGACTGACTGAACCTAGGATCTTCGGTCTTCAGTGTGAACGCCTAACCTCCAAACCACTGGGCCCGACATCCAACGGTGTTAATGTTACAATAGATGCAATTGTTTCGAGAAAATCATTTTATGTGATTGTATTAAGGAAATAAGTCAAAATAAAGTATGCAAAATAGTAAGATAATGTTATGTTCTAGTGACATCACTGTAGCTATCAGGAACATTTAACAAGCATTCGTTTGAAAGTGACTCTTAGACGACTGGTAGTTTGATCAAGAAAATCGATCACAAAAAAACAATGGTGTATCAGTTGTTATGGCCTCCCTGACTGATGTAAGCAAAAGAATGTTCGTGCAATCGTATCACTATCGAGAGCCTACGGTGACCATTGTATCACTAGTTTCGTGATGGTCAAAAATCCAACGCATTCATAGATTTCGTAATTTGCTCGTACAGACAATCATTACTAAATATCACCTGACAGTTTATAGATCAGAAGGTGAACACGAAGTGTTGAATACGTTTATTTTCGACACATCACAAAACGAACCATCAGACCACAAACAAAACACAGAGAAGGGCAAGCATACTGGCGAGCGAGTGGCCGAATTGGTGAATGAATGAATAAGATTAAAAGGTTAATATAGATACATAGGAAAATATCGAGTCATCGAGATATTTAAGAGATTAAAATTAAAGCCAATTGGATGAATATGCGCGTAGTTCAGTCGTACCATCTCATACAAACTAGACAATAGTAAAAACCAGTGGTACATATAAGTGGTTGTTATACAAGTTAATCGAAAGAGTTGATCAAATTAAATATTACTTACTTACCTACTCCTGTTACCCCCAATGGAGCATAGGCCGCCGACCAGTTTTCTCCAACCAACTCTGTACTGGGCTTCCGTCTCCAGTTCTGTCCAATCTTTGTTCATTCCTCTCATATCTTTCTCTATTTCTCAGCGTAATATGTTCCTTGACCTTCCTCTTTTCCTTTTGCACTGAGGGTTCCATGTAAGGGCTTGAAATTAAATAAAAGCGAGCTCAAATGTATATGGAGGCACTACAAGTCTATGTTAACGGTATTAACATGATCTCTGGTTAGGATAGGTAAAACCTTGAGGATTGATTAAAAAAACTTATAAAACTAGAAATATCAAACTCGAATATGTCAGTTTCAAGCTTTTCAGTCTTATAAACGGATTCCTCAGCGATAGTTCCTTCGATTTCAAATGTCAAGAACCACTATTTAAACTCAAACAATTCATGGGTTGTGTGAGAACATTGAACACACTCTAATTTTGAAAAGGCGAAGAATATTTTTCATCTGAAAAAAAAAGGATTTTGAAGATTTTGTTCTTCAAACTTTGAAAATATCAATCATGAAATTTTCACTGACTTTCACAAAAATGTATTTTAGAATTTCCTTAAAATAAATAAGTTTTTAATCTCATTGATTCTCTACTTTGTTCAAAGTTCAAAATGCAAACAATAAAACATTTCTCAAGGTCATCTCTTTCAAGTCAGTCACTCGAGTTCATTCCTATTTTCGAAGAAACATTAACTGGCAGGTAGAGATATCTGTCTTATGTTTTGGATGTTAATTGTCGATTCAAAATATTTATACTTACCCCCAATGGAGCATAGGCCGACCACCAGTTTTCTCCAACCAACTCTGTCCTGGGCTTCCTTTTCGAGTTCTTTCAAGTTTTTGTTCAGTCTTCTTAGTTCTGTCTCCATTACTTGGTGTATTGTGTTCCTTGTACTTCCTCTTTTGCTTTGATATTGAGGGTTCCAAGTGAGGGATTTTCTTGTGACGCATTTGGGTGCTTTTCGCAGTGTGTTCTATCCACTTCCACCGCTTCTTCCTGATTTCCTCATCCACTGGAATCTGGTTTGTTTTCTCCCACAGTAAGTTGTTGCTGATGGTGTCTGACCAACGAATCCTCAGTATTTTGCGAAGACAACTGTTCATAAATACTTGTATCTTCTGGATGATGGCTTTCGTAGTTCTCCAAGTTTCCGCTCCATACAGTAGAACTGTCTTGACATTTGTATTGAAAATCCTGATTTTTGTGTTGATTGATATTTGTTTGGAGTTCCAGATATTTTTCAATTGTAAAAATGCAGCCCTTGCTTTGCCAATCCACGCCCTCACATCTGCATCGGATCCACCTTGGTTGTCGATGATGCTGCCCAGATATGTAAGGGTGTCAACGTCCTCCAAAGAGTCTCCATCAAAAAAGATTTGGTTGGTGCGTGTTGTGTTGTATCGTAGAATCTTACTTTTCTCTTTATGCATGTTGAGACCTACTGCTGCAGAGGCTGCTGCTACACTGGTCGTCTTTTCTTGCGTTTGTTGTTGCGTGTGCGATAGAAGAGCCAGGTCATCTGCGAAGTCCAGATCGTCCATCTGCATCCTAGCTGTCCATTGAATACCGTGCTTCCCTCCAGATGTCGACGTCTTCATAATCCAGTCGATGACCAGGAGAAAGAGAAAGGGTGAGAGTAAGCAACCTTGCCTGACACCGGTCTTCACCTCGAAAGAGTCTGTTAACTGTCCTTTGTGTACGATTTTGCAGTTGAATCCATCATAAGAATTCCGTTTGATGTTAACTATTCTCTCAGGCACACCATAGTGACGAAGAAGCCTCCACAGTGTTTTCATGTCCACGCTATTAAATGCTTTCTCGTAGTCGATGAAGTTGATGTAGAGTGATGAGTTCCATTCAATTGATTGTTCCACAATCATTCATAATGTTGCAATTTGGTCGGTACACGATCGATCCTTACGAAATCTAGCCTGAATAATTGTTTTGTTACGATAATCTATTATTTTAAATGGTTCAGCGATATATTTGATTGATTTATTTTCATAAAAACTATTTCACTGAGAAAAAGAATTAGAGACTGATTATTTTAATAAAACAATGTTTTTAAAAAAAAGGTGAAAAACGCCTTAAATTACACATCATTTGGTGTTTGAAATTGTTTAAAATTTTCTATCTGTATAAATTAAATCAATTCGAGGTTGATGACAGTTTGTTTTATCGGACGATTTTCGTTATGCAAATATACACGAATAAAATGATGTTGTATGTAAGTTGTCGGTATAATTATCTGGCGTCAGTCCGAACAAATTGATCCATTGATCCATTCAGTTTAGAGAATGAAACTTCACCAACAGAATCCATCCGAGCTGAAAATCTTCTCGAAGTGAGGGCTTATCTTATGACACAGTTGGGTGTTTTCACCAATGTTAAGGCTGTACGTAAACACATCAACTTTATATTCTTGAACTATTACGAGTTTACCTAGTCGGAAAACGAGAGCGAGGATCGAGGATCCGGCGAACACGACATGCTACTCAAATCCGACTATCCCAACACCCATATTGAGTAAAAATAAGAAGACTTGATATGAAGTAGAACATGTATTCTACAAGTATCCAAAAAGTACGAGATCCGAATCCAGAAGGGAATCAGGATCCCGGACTAGGGACCCGGGACCGTGTCCTGATCCTGGTCATAAAACGTTACAGATAATGCGTATTTATACATTTTGGTCGAATAAGAAAGAACATCGGAGCACGTGACATTGACAGTTAGGACGACCAATAGGAAGTATCATTTGAAGTGACATTGATAATCAGGACAAGCAATAAGAAAGAACATCGGAGCACGTGACATTGACAGTTAGGACGACCATAAAATTGATCAGTATGAATTAACCAATAGGAATTGACCAATAATTCTCTTAGGATATTGGATGAACATCCTAACAGATTGCTTTCGTCGTTCTCCAAGTTTCCCCCTCATACAGTACAAGTGTCTTGACATTTGTATCCGAAAATTCTGACTTTAATGCTGGTTGATATTTGTTTTGAGTTCCAGATGTTGTTCAGTTGTCGAATTGCTGACCTTACTTTACCGATCAGTGCCTTCACATCTGCATCACAAATCCACCGTGCTCATCAGTTTTTCTGCTCAAATATGAAACTAATGAATTTGATTTTCGCTATTCACTAATTTTTTTTGAAACCATGAATCGATCAATGTTGGACCACTATTAGAAACCTGGAAGCACTGGACAGCCGTTTCGTCCTGGTATGGGACTCCTCAGCAGTGTGCAGGAGTCGTGGATGCGCACTGCGCACAACGATTCATGGTTTCAAAAAATATGTAACTTAACAATCTTCACAACCCCGTAATGCAAATTACCTGTGCTAGCTAGTGACTAGCTTCGTGAGGAATCTTCTCCGAGTTCTAGTGGGAAGACGTGACCAGTAAAGTTCGGGTGTAGACAGTGTCTACCGAAGACTGTGTATGAGGTTGCGCAACTCCGTAAATTGGTCAAGTTAGACATTAACACCGTTAGATACCGGCTCAGTGGCCCGATGGTTAGGCATTCGTGGGTAAGACCGAAGGTCCTGGGTGCAGGAGTCGTGGATGCGCACTGCTGAGGAGTCCCATACCAGGACGAAACGGCTGTCTTTCAGTGCTTTCAGGTTTCTAATGGTGGTCCAAAATTGATCGATTTATGGTTTCAAAAAAACCAAAAAATCTTCACAACCCCATAATGCGAATATTGACTAATTATTCAATATTTTTCTTACTCAAAAACTGTAGCTGTTATACATTTTTACTTGACTGGCTTCCTGAGTCAAAGACACAGTTAGTGAAATTTTGTATTGTCGGAATAAAGCCCTTTAAAATCGACTATACATAACTGTTTTTACCTTTTAAATAAAATTATTATTATTATTATTGTTACTGTTATTTCTGATTATTTACATTTCAGTAATCTTCCAAATGTCTCTGTTATGACAATCAGTTTATATCGAGAAGGTGGTGGTGGTGGTGGATCAACCGGTAAAGATTCACGACGGATTGGCACACCAAGATTAGGCTTGAAAAAACATCGAAAAACTCAAAATCAATTAGTTGGTAAGATGTGCAGTGCTGTGCAGTGCAGTGCAGTTTCCGATTTTTGGATATTCACATAAATTATATCTCTGTGAATAGTGCTTCTTTCAAGCTATGCTGATGAGTCCCATACCAGGACGAAACGGCCGTCCAGTGCTTTCAGGTTTCTAATGGTGGTCTAACATTGGTCGATCCATGGTTACAAATAAAATATTAAACCAAATGACTGAATTTAACAATTTTGAACTGTTAAATTTGAACTGGATATGGCTGTATGCTTAATCAACGCTGAGATCACGATGAGCGATATTGTCTGGTGTAAGTGTAGTCTGCAAGAAAAAACATGGCATCAGTCTATGTAGTTATTGACAATTAGAATGATGAACCGTGTTAATCGATGCGGACCAATTGGTCGGGGTCCTAATTTACATCACTAATTTGTATTATCTTGCATTTTTTTTCCTCGATCCTCAATCTTTTCTATTACAACTGTCTCTTTTACTCTGGAATTCTGCCTGAGTATGGCTATTCAAACTGATGTATGTAAGTATCAAGCTGTACGGTTACAAATGAATGACTTAATATTGGGTTACAGTGATTACAGTTATACGCGAAGTTCTCCAGTTTAATTCTACAGAGAATGACTTGTGGGTTTGTTCTAAACTTATCACGGTTGTTGAAATCATTACAAGAAAAACCCCAGCCAAGTCTATATTACATCATAGTATGTAATATGAGCAGTTGTTAATTCTCTGTGTGACTGAATAGCTCAAACAAGCCTCCTTAAAGTAAGATATTACCAAAGATTACATTATGATCGGTAATCAAACAAACTAGTTTTTTTTTCCCAATATACACTTACATACACACCAGTACGAAACGGCCATACAGTGCTTCCAGGTTCCTAATGGTGTGTGGTGTGACAATTATTGATTCATGATCTCATTGTGCAAAAACACTGATCTCCATAACTAGTTTCGTGAGGGAGTTCTCGCAGTTCTTCCATAGTGAGAAGACCTGACCAGTGGAGTTCAACCCTGTGAGGTGTATTCAGTAACTATCAAAAACAAATAGGTGGAGTCGCGTCAAATACCTAGATCGGTTAGAGTTAGAGATTAGCACCTTTGGATGCCGGCCCAGTGGTTCAGAGGTTAGGCGACTGCGCGCAAGACCTAGGGGTGTGAGTTCGAATCCTGTGAGTAGCAGATGTCATAGATGAGCAACACTCGTGAGATGTCCCATACAAAGACGAAACGGTCGTCTTTCAGTGCTTGCAAGTTTTCTAATGGCGTGCTCTAACAATGATTGATTCATGATTCAGATATGTAAAAACACTGATTTCCATAACTCTAATTGAGAAAAAGCAAATTATTAACACCAAAAGTAAAGAAGTTTTACCCGAAAAAAACATGATTGAATATCATGTATAATTTTTGTAAGCCATAATGTTGCTTATACCTACCTGCTAATTAAGGTGATGACCTCATTAGAGCAATAAATAAATTTTCATAAAAATCCACTTATCCAATTTTTTAAATTAAAATTCAATAGTAATCAATGCTGAAATACTGTGATAGTCTCTTGTTCTGCATAGAATTACATCTTTGTGGTTATCTCTTTGCAAAAGTTGATCAATTACTAAGTTATACTCTAGTCCATTGTTTTATCTTCGAAGTGTTCAAGTCCAATCTCTAACTATTATATTGTTGAAGCAAATGATTTTAGCCTGGATTATTGATTTAATTTTGCACATAGATAATCATGAATCGATCAATGTTATATCACTATTAGAAACCTGGAAGCAATGAATGGCTGTATCGTCGGCAGGGGCATATTTATTGTGGTTAGGTATCTGCTGTACTAAGTACACTTCAGATCGACTTGACCTACCACTCTCCACTATAGTTGTGTCTCGTTGTAGATTAATGAGACGTTGTTGGTATTCGTTGGTCATGTCACTAAGGATGAACTTAGGATCTTATATCATTGAACTTTTGAGACTGGATGCAACAGATGAGTATGAAGGCTTTAAACTGATCTTCCGACAAAGACTTCAACCGGTTGACGATGTGCACATGCTTAAGCAAGTAATCTTCTTCGTTCATAATTAGCTTCAAACATCGATAACGCATATTGAACAATGATAAGTTGTCGCTAAATTGTTGCCTCAATGTCTGGACTGTCTCTGAAAATGACTGATCTTGTGGGTTCAAAGGCAGGCTCAAATTACCGTACTTGTTCAACTCCCTTTCACCCAACTTTCAAAGTAGCAGCCGAACATTCTAAGCATCATCTTGACTGACGAGATCAAATTTAAATAAATCTTCATAACGCCGAGATCACATGTCAAAAGTAACGTTGTCGCAAGGATCATAATGAAATTTAGTTGACTTGATGGAGCTGTGGTTGCGTTAGATGAGCTAGGCTGTGTGAAAGTGGAAATCTGTATATCTTTCAACATCCGCACCCAGTCATTTGCGCGCAAGACCGAAGTTCCTTTGTTCAAAATCCTGTGTGTAACAGGAGCCATGGACGCACACTACTGATAAGTCCCATACACCAGGAAAAAACGGCCGTCTTTCAGTGCTTCCACGGTTCAAATGCTGGTCTAACAATGAATTGATTCATGATTTCAATGTCTAAAAAACACTGATCTCCATAACTCAAATTGAATTATTATTACTATTATTATTCTTATTATCGATAGGTTATATCACAATACCTGTCACTGAAATATCTAGTCGTACTGATATTCAAACATGGTTAACATTACAACCACCAATGGAGAATTCTGTTAGTCAAGATAATCTGATGCATAGTTTCGGTGCAATGTATGCTGATTTTCAACGATGTGATAAATTGAACTCGGTGAAATTGAACAAATTCAATTCATGCTCATCATCAGCATCATCATCTACAACTAATCTATTGCATAATCATTCTGTAAATAACAACACATTGACAGATTATACACATTTTCCACAATTACGTATATGTGCACGTTATCAATCACTTGGTGTATTGCCATTGTACAATTATTGGCCTTTAAGAACGGTGAGTTTTTTTCAATTCATTCATTCATTGATTCATTCTGTTTCAATTTGAATATTTTGTGATTAGTTTTGTGTACAGTACTCAATCTAGGTAGATATAGATTATTTATGATAATATCAGTTTTTCCCGACCGTAGCTGCTACCTTGACTTGGTGGTGGTCGGGCTTGCCTATCGTGATGACCCAATCGAGCTATACTGGCTGGAACATATGTTCCTGCAGGTCCTACCATGCCAGGCAGGTCGATTGGAGACCGATGAGACTAAAAGCAGCTAGTCGAGGTCTGAGGGCGAAGTCGTACTGCTGACTGCTAAGGGGTGTGACAGCAGCAGTAAGGTGTTTCCCTCAGACAACCAGCATCTGCAGCGGTGCTGCCTTCTGACAAGGAAGGAAGGGTTAGAAAAGGTCGACCCTAAAAAATGTCACACCTCACCTTGCTTCACGGATTTCCATCTCAGTCGGTAAGGGTGCCCACTAACGGCTTTTAAGAGCGGAGCTAATCCTCAAAAAACCTTTCATATTAAGGCTGTGCGTGACCGGCCTCAAGCAGTTGTTCCCTGGGCTCTGTGGTCACACAACCAGGTCTCTAAAACCGACACTAATCTATCTTCCTTTTGAGGTCCCTCAAGAAACAACCTTCCACGGTGTGGGCAGCCGGTAAGTGATAACCGCCCTCATACCTGTAACAGCACGAGAGACCAAAGTGGTCGAAATAAAAAAAAATCAGTCTTTTGGTTAATTCAAGTTTGTTTATCATTGAAATCATGAATCAGTCATTGTTAGACCTGGAATTAAAAAATTATACAATGTGTTCACCAATGACTAGCTTCGTGAGTAGGTTCCTTCGAGTTCTAGTACGGAGTTCAACCCTGTTGGGTGTAGTCAGTAACTACCGAAGACAAAATGGTTGGGTTCGCGCACAATCCCTAGATTGATTAGAGTTAGACATTAACATTGTTAAATGCCTGCCCGGTGGCACGCAAGACCGAAGGTCCTGTTGTGGTGCGCGCTACTTATAAGTAGTATATGACGCGAGTGAAAACATAATATCTGGCAACAGAAGATGGGGGAAGATCAAGAAAGGAGGAATGGGAACACAATGGAATTTGTATGAAACGCATGAATAAGTGAAATGTCAGGCAATGGATTGATGATGGATTGAAGATTTGCAAATTAACGGTTACGATATGGTTTTCCTATTTTACTGAGTAACTCTGTAATTTTCGATAAATACGATTCGGTTGCCCTCACCTGTGTTCTCCTTCACTACACTGCTAGTAAGCAGCAATAGTCGTTGATGTGCACTGCTGATTAGCTGTCCCATATCAGGACGAAACGGCCTTTTTCAGTGCTTTCAGGTTTCTAATGGTGTGGTCTAACAATGATTTATTCATTATTTCACTATTAATGCCAATCTGTCCCTGAAACAATGGATTTCAACGCATTAACAGCACAGATATATTTATCAGTAATATTGACGGTTGATAGTCATAATAATATACGAATCTTGTAAACATATCTTTATAATCTCAATTATTTGCCTATATAAGTACTGCCTACCTACTTACTTGTGCCTGAAACCACCAGTGGGGCATAGGCTGCCGACCAGCATTTTCCATCCTACTCTGTCCTGCCTGGTCGGCATTTCTAGTTCTCCCCAACTTTTGTTCATTCTTCTCATGTCTGTTTCCGTTTCTCGGCGTAATGTATTCCTTGGCCTTCCTCTTTTCCTTTGACCTTGTGGATTCCAAGTGAGGGATTATTTTGTGACACAGTTGGTTGTATTCTCCTATCTAAAAGTAGAATGTAAAATTTTTGTAAATAGGAAACACTGGAGTGTTTTTTTTAAAATTTGATTTGTGGCATACCTTGTAAAGTATTGAAGAAGTAGTGCGTTACGAAATAAAAGCTAACAAATAACTTTAAGTCCGAATTTATGTGATACCATCGCTTCTCAGAGATTTTAACCCCACTATCTACTATGATTGGCCATAATCATCGTACGGAACCCACCACGATAATATGTATCTGGCGACATGGTTCAATTCAACAAGTTATGACTTCATGAATTGATTCGGCCTTCGTGTTTGGACTCCACTAGTGTCCTTTCAACTTATTTTTAAATCAAATAACATTGCCGACCGCGAGGTAGCAGGTGGTTGTGTACGTGAAGTCGACAAAGTTTCGAAACCACAACCCTCGATTTGTCATCTTCGCAGATAATTATAGAACAGACATTGACAGTAACCAATCGTGATCGTGCTCGACTGGTCAAGGTGTCAATCATATTTGGGAAAGATTAAATGCGTTACTTCTACTTGAAATTTGTAATGAGGATGTTGCCTGGAAAAATAATCAAACCCTCACAACTAAACAACACAGTTCACAGAAAGACTTACTTACTTACTTGCTTACGCTTGCTACCCGCAATGGAGCATAGGCTGCCGACCAGCTTTCTCCATCCTACTCTGTCCTGCCTTTGCAGTTTTACCCGATTGCTGTCTATCCTTTCCATGTCTGTCTCCATTTTTCGGCGTAATGTGTTTCTTGGCCTTCCTCTTCTCCTTTGACCTTGAGGATGGAATCTAGTGTGTTCTATCCCACAGTAGGGCGTTGCCAATGATGTCTGGGCAGCGAGTCGAAATTATTTTGTGAACACCGTTGTCAGTGAACACTTGAATCTTCTGGATGATGACTTTCTTGGTTTTGCAAGTTTCCGCCTCATACAGTAGAATTGTCTTGATGTTCTAATTGAAAATTGGGACTTTGGCGTTGGTTGACAGACAGTTATTTTGAGTTGCAGATGTTTTTCAATTTTCGAACTGCCATCCTTGTTTTGCTAGTCCGCTCCTTCACATCTGCATCAGATCCATGTTGTTCATCAATGATGCTGTCCAGACATGTAAAAGTTCTCTTATCGTCTAAAGCTTCTCCATCAAGTGTGATTCAGTTGGTGCATGTTGCGTTGTATCGTAGGATCTCACTTTTCTCTTTGCGTATGTCGAGACCGATTGCCACAGAGGCTGCTAACTACACTTGTCGTCTTCTCTTGCATATGTTGTTGCATCTGAGATAGAAGAGCCAAATTATCTGCGGAGTCTAGACCACCGTCCAGCTGCATTGAAGCTGTTCCCTGTATTTCGTGCTTCTGTTGAGATTTTTAGATCTGTATACTTCAGTCGATCACCAGGAGAAAGAGAGACAGTTAGAATTAGCAACTTTACCTGACTCCTCTATTCACTTCATACGAGTGTGGGCGTTTGGATATACATCCAATATCCTAAGAGAATTATTGGTCAAATCCTATTGGTTGATTTCTATCGGCCAACATTATGGTCGTTTTACCTGTCAAAGTCAAATAATTCAATGTTGTCTCTTATTGGTCATCCCGACTGTCAATGTCATTTCAAATGTTACTTTCTATTGGTTGTCGTATCTGTCAATGCTACAGAATTCGATGCTGTTACCTATTCGACCAAAATGTATAAATACGCATTATCTGTAACAGTTTATGACCACGACCAGGACCAGGGCTCGGTCCCGGATCCCAAGTCGGGGATCCTGATTCTCTTCTGGATTCGGACCTCATACTTTCTGGATGCTTGTAGAATACAGGTTCTACTTCATATCAAGTCTTCTTATTTTTACTCAATATGGGGGGCTGGAATAATTGGATTTGAGTAGTATGTCGTGTTACCGGATCCTCGATTGCCGCTGTCGCGTTTCCGACTAGATAAACTCGTAATCGTTCAAGTATATCAAGTTGAAGTGTTTTCATGCAGGCGTAACACTCTTAGAACAAAACTGCACCCAAATCTATTTTCGCAATACCATCTCAAATATACTCTCTTAGTATATATATATATTTAAGTAGTATTTTATCTTATTCTATAAATTTTGTATACTTTACAGCTTTTTTGTTTTCAAAACTACGGTTTTTTGTTTTTCTTCTTTTCAGCTTGTTTTAAATAATAGTTTACTGTTAACCAATTGGTTAGAATCGTTATTATTATCAGTGAAATTAAAAGAGGAATTATCAAATTCTCTAGTTTATTTACATGAAAGTAATAATACATTGATTGAATTTTTAACTGATCTAGTTGTTCGAGAAGTATCGAATTTAGGTAAGTATTATGTATGTATCCCTATATGTATGTATGTACTTTACCAAATTTATTCTTTCTATCATGATAAATTGCAATGGTGAACATTTGAAATAATCGCTTTCATATAAACCATTGTTTTACATTTGGGCTTGAGTTGTTAATCTCAAACTCTGTCTGAATACAGACAGACAGATACAATGCAGAACTTTGTACGTAAGTACATCATCAGTTCAGGTTGCCATGCCCCGTCAGCACAGAGACTCAACTGTCAGTGATAGCGATAGTAGAAGTATTAGCAATAAGGAGTGAAGATATGATTCGAGAAGTATAATTCAGTGAGATAAATTTAGAAAGAGAAAGACAGAGATGATGAGGAATTCAGAAGGTTAGAATTAGATAGAGAAACACAAAGAGTGGATGCATCTGTGCCATCGCAAATGATTCTGAGCCATATCGTTCAAGGTCTGTAACCATTGGTGACTTTCGTCTCGCGGACTCCAACCAGGTAGCCTACATCTACCAACATGAATCAGTCCACTTATCAGTGACTTCATGGATTTGTGCGATGTTTTGGTTTGGCCACCCCTAGAATTCTCGTCGAGGTAGTCCGTGGTTGGGCATCCGTAACTGATACATATATTTTTTTTTTAGTCTCAGTGCATTCAAGACGGTTCGAAAATAAACAGTATCAAGATAGACAAAATGAAATTTAACTTATCTACCATTAGAGTACAAAAATATGAGACTCAAAATTCAAATCTTCGATATTCAATAGCTGAATACAACTTGCGCGAACACGTTGGTTTAGGTTACACTAATATTGACACATGTTAGTAGGATGCATTTGTAATCTTTGAGAACTTGTGAGCACCACAGAATTCGAATCTATATTACTTCAAGTCGAATCAGTTAGACAATCGGTCAATGATACATAAAGGTCAGTAGAATTCAACAGGAACTAAACAACCGTAACATTAGTTACAAATCATTGATCAATCAGCATTCATCTGAAACTTTCTCATTAGTGACTAGTTTCGTGAGAAAATTTTAGGAATTCTTCCAGTGAGAAGACGCGACTAGTGGAGTCAAACCTTGTCAGATAGATGTAAGCGGTTACCTGCTGAAGACAATGGATGAGGTTGCCCAAAACCTTAGATTGAACAAAAGTTAGTTATTAACACTGATGGATGCCGGCCGGCTTAAAAGGTTTAGAAGTTAAGCGTTTTAGCGCAAAAACCGATCTTGAGTTAGACTTTCGCGACAATGAGTTGTGGACGCCCACTGCTGAAGAAGAGTCTCACACTAGGATTAAACGCTCTTTCCAGGTTTCTAATGGTGATCTAACACTGATCGATTCATTGTTTAAACGAACCTGGTTTCAGTTTGGAAAGAATATTATTCACAAATGTTGATCGTTTATACAAATACTTTTTCACATTATTTTATCGAAGAAGTATTCTAGTAACATTTCAAAACAATCGTCATGTTGGGGTGCACGAGACGATAGTCACCGATGGTTAGAGACCTTGAACAACATGGCTCAGAATCGTTTGCAATGGCGCAAGTGCATCCACTCTTTATGTTCTATGAAATTCTAATCTTCTGAATTCCTCATCATCTCTATCTTTCTCTGTTTCTAAAGTTATCTCACTGAATTATACTTCTCGAATTATATCTTCGCTCCGTAATCTTCTCCAGTACTGTTAATACTTCTATTATTGCCATCACTCTTGGATTTGAACTGACAGTTGCGTGCCTGTGCTGATGGGGCATGGCAACCTGAACTGATGTACTTACTTACGAAGTTCTGTGTTGTATCTGTCTGTCTGTCTATTTCAAAACAATCACTAACAGTTCAACACACACACACACAGTTCCCACTAAATCTTACTTACTATACAGCTAGTGATCAGTAATATCGTCTAAGCATATCATAATTCTGGCAAATACTAAGGGTATTTTTACACGATAACTTTTAAGAAATTTCAAGGATACTTAACTTTTAATCTGTGAAATAAGAAACTAGAAAAAAAACAAAGTTTTTGCCAAATTTTTTGGAGAATATTCATAAAAAAAACTTCAAATTGATATAAACAATCTGTGAAACAAAACTGTTTTTTTGCTAACTTTCTTGCATGTTTTACATTGAACAGAATATAAACAATTTTGAACTGTACAATTGTGTCATAAATCATAAGTCATGTGATTGAATATTTGATCAATGTTGCACCATGAATGTTTATGACATCCAATCTTTCTACTCTGTCCATTTCCTTTTTCTAAATTTATACGTTTTATTTTTTCTGTTGAATACAAGTCATGACGTGAAAATAAGTAGTGTATTTACTGCGGAGAAAAAAGCACAAACTAATCTATCTAGCAAGCACTTTATATTATACAAATCAGAAAAAAATAAAATGAATGTTTGTTTATCTTTCTATGCCGAAAAAGAATTGTTGATTTCTGCTTTTGTCAGCCGCCAATTACTACGACACTCACTGTTAGAATAATTATTTTTATCAATCCTTGTTATGCTAGAGATGTTGGGGGTATCTAACAGTATTGTAAAAATGAGTGGAGCTGAGATAAATTTTCCGTTCGTGGTAACCACAATTCGGTTGCCCCACCTGTGTTCTCATTCACTACATTTGGTGTCGCTGCCTACGCAAAGGATGAAGATTCCATGGCCGAAAGAGTTTGAAGACGGGGATGTGCGGGGCTTCCTGAAGGAGTTTGAGGCCGTGGCGGAGCTGGTGGGGGTGAAGGAACCGAAGGCGAAGCTGGTGGTGCTGGGGACGCTGCTGAGAGGGGGCGAAGGCCGTATATGACAGCTTGGACGGTGCTGGCGGGAAGACGCCATGGGAGATGGTCGTTGAGCGGCTGATGACCGAGTTCGACAGCCCGGTGGACAGGGAAGAGGCGTTGCGGAAATTCCGGTTGGCGAGGCTGTCGGCTGATGGTGACCCGCTGGTGCTTGCCGTGGAACTCACAAGGTTTCTGCGCCGTGCGTTGCCGAATATCGATGAGGAGTCGGAGGCACAATTGTTGGCGTCGCAATTTATTGAGAGTGTGCCTGCCGCTGTGTCCCAGCTGCTGAGATTAGTAAATGCAGCACAACCTATGGACATCGGTGAACTGGCGAAGGTGACTCGTCAGCTGATGACACGAACAGTAGCTCCGGTCGGGTGCGGAAAGCAGGAGATAAATACTTTCGAGAAGAAGATTGAGGAGTTAGAGCGTGAGATAGCAGCATTACGAGTAAATCATAAAAGGAACGATAAATGTTACGCTTGTGGAGAGGCAGGACATTGGAAGATAAACTGTCCAAGAAGACGACGACGATATTTTAAACATTATAACGTGTTTTCTTTCCACCCTAGGAATCGGGAGGTCCTTGCACTAGTAGATAGAGGGGCAATTTATGCCAGAGTGTACATAAATGAACGGGAGTTAGTGTGTTTGATTGATACAGGGGCAGCTATATCGTTAATAAGCAAACAGCAATGTAAGACAATTAAACCATGTACATTAGCTGTCCACACCATAGGAGGGCATATGCTAGAGGTGTTGGGGGTATCTAACAGTATTGTAAAAATGAGTGGAGCTGAGATAAATTTTCCGTTCGTGGTAACCACAATTCGGTTGCCCCACCTGTGTTCTCATTCACTACAGTTAGACCATACCATTAGAAATCTGGAAGCGCTGAAGGACGGCCGTTTCGTCCTGATATGGGACTACTACATCAGTGGCAGCGCGCATCCACGACTCCTGCTGCCATTCGCAGGATTCGAACTCGGGACCTTCGGTATTGTGTGCGGACGCCTAACCATTGGACCGCTGTGCTGGTCGGCATCCAACGGTGTCCCATACACCAGGACGATACGGCCATCCAGTGCATCTAAGTTTCTAATGGTATGGTCTAACAATGATTGATTGATGATTTTAAATGTGTAAAAACACAAAAACCTCCAAAACTCTGTCCGAAAATAAATTTCTAATGAATTTTGTTCACTGGGAATAAACATACAAACAAACACATGAATAAGTTTTCATTCTATCCACATAATTAATTCTTAATAGATGAATGGACATGAAGAGAGTTGGGATTAAAAAGTGAATTTTCATTGAGAAAAACTTGATTATTACACCTCAATTTCAACTCATTATCTCTGCTTTAGTTTACTATGTTGAATGTACATTCGGTGTAGCAGTTTGTTTGCTCCGTCTCACTATACGGCTGCGAAACATGGCCAGTTTGAGTAGAAGATATTCATAGATTACTGGTTTACGATCATAGGTGTCGCCTAAGCATTGCTCATGTATCATTGGACAACTGAGTAAGCAATGCTGTTGTTAGGAATCTTAGGCATGGCAAATCAATAGATGAAGTAGTGAGACTTCATCATTTGAGCTGGTTAGGACATGTGTTACGTATGTCCAACCACTGACTACCTCAACGAGTTATGTTTAGTGATGTAGGAGTAAGTTGGAAGGAAGCTAGATGCGCCAAAATCAAAGAATGGTACAAATTCATGAAGTTACCTACATATGGATTGAGTCATGTCCGTAGGTGTCGACTTACCTGGTTAAAGCCCGCTAGATGATAAGTAATCGATGGTTGGATACCTTGAACGATATGGATCAAAATCGTTTGCAATGGCGTCGGTGCATCCATTTTTTGTGTTCTCTGAAATTCTAACCTTCTGAATTCCTCATCATCTCTATCTTTCACTTCCTAAAGTTATCTCACTGAATTATACTTCTTGAATAACATCTTCGAATCCTAATCTTCTCCATCACCAATGATACGTTTGCTATTTCTACCACTATGTGATGTGAACTGCCAGTTGTGTTGCTTGTGCTGATGTGGCTTGGCAACCTGAACTGATGTAAGTACGTACGAAGTTCTACGCTGTAACTGATTGACTGACCGACGGTGATATTCAATAATAGGATTGTTGATATGTTCAATGTAAGAATTGGTTAGATTACATAACCAACTGTACACTGTGGTATATAACTTTATCATAATTCCACTTCCAATAAAATCTTTACCTCAAGCCTTAGCTAGGGGCGGCCAAACCAAAACATGGTATAAATCCATGAAGTCACTGACGAGTGGACTGAGTCATGTTGGTAGATGTAGACTACGTGGTTGGGGTCCGCGAGACGAAAGTCGCCAATGGTTACAGACCTTGAACGATATGGCTCAGAATCGTTTGCAATGGCGCAGGTGCATCCACTCTTTGTGTTTCTCTCAAATTCTGACCTTCTCAATTCCTCATCATCTCTATCTTTCTACTTCTTAATTTATCTCACTGAATTATACTTCTTGAAAGATATTTTCGCTCCCTAATCTTCTCCATTGTTGCTAATACTTCTATTATTGCTATCACTGTTGGATTTGAACTGACAGTTACGTCTCTGTGCTGATGTTGTATGGCAACCTGAAATGATGTACTTACGTAGAAAGTTCTGCGTTGTATCTGTCTGTCTGTTTATCTTACTTCAGCCTTAATAATCGATTGTTCAGATAGAAGCGTTCCAATGTATTCTTAATGATGATAACCTTATGACAGAAATGATAAACTGTTTTCAAGTTCTGACTTGTTCATTTTAAAGTGGCTTTTAAAGGATGATGGTTTAATGTGAATCGATGAACTTATCGATCTAGTCCAAACAAACAAACAAACAACATTGGATCAATATTTAGTTTAGTTATGAATGAATACGACTAGCTAACTATATAGATATTTCACAATAAGAGTATTTGTCGACTTTAGCGTGGCATTTGATTCAGTTGATCATGAGATTCTATGGCAGTGTTTGTCACACAAAGGAGTGCTAAAGAAGTACGTTAGCCTTATAGAGAACTGTTATCGTAATTGATTAATTCAAGTGGTGCTTCTCAGCGTTGTCCACTTTCTCCATTCTTGTTTAGCTGTGTCACTGACTTACTGCTAGACACGACACTTTCAACATCCAGGACCCGACCTTCTACCAGGTTAGAAGAAAGCCAGATGCCACGAATTCATGAAGTCACACTGACAAGTGGACTGAGCCATTTTGGTAGGTTTAGACTACCTGGTTGTGGTGTGCGAGGTAACAGCGACCGATGGTTAGAGACCTTGAATGAAACGGCTTAAATTCGTTTGCAATGACGCAGGTGTAATCACTCTATATATCCTCTCAAGTCTTAATCTGCTGGATCCCTCATCATATTTGTCTTTCACTTTTTAAGTTTATTTCACTAAATTATACTCCTTGAATAATATCTTTACTGCTCATACTTCTACTACCTCTACGGCTATGGGATTTGAATCGACAATTGCAACTCTGTGCTCATATGGTACGGCAACTTAAACTGATATACTTGCCTACGAAGTCTTACATTGTTGTTCACTGACTACTGATCAACCAAACTATATGCGCTTTTTGATTTTTGAGGTTGAAAATTCATATGTACAGTGAATCTATGAATCCATCATTGTTATACCACCATTAAGTACTCACAAACACTGGACGGTCGTTCCATTCAAGTATGTGACTCTTTAGCAGTGGGTATCCACAACCCCCGAACGCGGGAATCCAACCCCGGATTTTCGGTTTCGCGCGTGAACGCTTAGTGATAGGATATCCACCCAATATCCTAAGACGGCTGTTTGTAAGTCTAGTTCTATTGGTCGATTCCTATTGATTAATTCCTACAGGTCAATATTATAGTCGTCCTAACTGCCAGTGTCACTCAAATGTTATTTCTTATTGGCCGTCCTAACTATCAATGTTACAGACTTCAATGTTGTTTCCTATTGGACCTAACTGTATAAATATGCATTATCTGTAGCGTATTATGACCCGGACCTGGATCCTAGTCCGGGTTCCTGATTCTCTTCTGGACTCGGACCTCGTAATTTTTGGGTGCTTTTAAGTCATACGTTCTGCTTCATATCACGTCTTCTTCTTTTACTAAATATTGGGGTTGGGACACTCGGATTAGAGTAGTCTGTTGTGTCGCGGTATCCTCTATCCTCGCTCTCGTTTTCCAACTAACGTAACCTCGTAATAGTTCAAGTATATCAAAAGATGTGTTTACGTGCATGCGTAACACTTAGACTTTGGATAACTGAGCCGACTGGCATCCAATCGTGTTGATATTTCACTTTTATCAATCTTAGGATTTTGCGCAACCTTACCCACTGTCGTTGGCAATCACTACCTACTCTTGACAGGGTTTGAACTCCATTGTTCACGTCTTCTCACTAGAAATATGAGAATTTCTTCACGAAACTAGTCACTAGTGAGAACATTTTCCCAATTTTCATTATTGAAAAATGCACATTGGTGTTTTCTATTGAAATCACAAACCAATCATTGTTAGGCCACCATTAAAAAAAAACCTAAAATCACCGACCTAGTGTTTCGTCCCTAGCGTAGGCCTCTTCAGCTATGTTTGTTAATTTATCATTGAAAATCTCTGTTGCTGATTGATCATTCTTAACCACAGTTTAAATCAATATTTCACTATTATATATTAGGGATGCATCATTTTTTCCCCAGGGTAATTGAATTACGTCTTCTAATCCTAACCTCTTCGATTACTTCTAATGCCTTTACTACCTCTTCTACTATAGGATTTGATTTGACATTTACGTCTCTGTGTGCTGATGTGGTATGGCAACATGAACTGATGTACTTACGTATGAAGTTCTACGTTGCACCTGACTGACTGACTGACTGAGAGTAATTGCATTGAAAAACCCAAAAAACACTATGAAATATTCAATGCTAATCATAACTTATTCATTTGTATTTAAAATGAGAAAAACTATGTAACAAATGTTTGAAAAATATGTATGTTGCTTCATTCGAAAATGTCATTCTACTACAATCAGTCAAATAAAAAAAAACACCAAATATAAATCAATATTCACGATGCACAAAAGTTCATCATGTTCAATTGTACATTGAACATATTTTTTGTTCTTTTAACCTTGTTTGTAGTTAGTGTGTTACAAATATATATTGTTTTTATCAAAATCCTTTTCCTTCTCTCTCCATGCTGTTGGTTGTTATTTCATAGAAAATGAATCAATGGCATTTCGATCAAATACAATGGCAACCAAAGCTGTAGAATGTTATGTGAAATTTGTCGGTTCATCTGTAAGTAAAGTGTGTGCTTGTCGATAGTTTCCTGTATCATGTTATCATGTAACTATATATATATCTATATGTTTGTAGGTACGTGAATCGATTTTTCATGGGATACAAATGTTTATAACACAATAATCATTACAAATTCATCTTGATTTATATTAAATAAGTGATAAGGGTCAATTTTATTATTCAACTAATTGTTCCCGCCTTTTTTTTCCTTCATCATCATCGTCAATAGCAACGTAGAACTTTGCACGTAAGTACATCAGTTCAAGTTGCCATATCACGTTAGCACAGAGATATAATTGTCAATTCAAATCACATATTAGTAGAGGTAGTTAAAGTATTACAAGTAATCAGTGAGAGATTAGAGTTCGAAGATGTTATTTAAGAAGTATAATTCAGTGAGGTAAATTTAGAAAGTGAAACATAGAGGTGATGAGGAATTCAGAAGTTTAGAATTTGAGTGAGCACAAAGAATGAATGCACCTGAGCCATTGCAAACGATTCTGACCCATGTCATTCAGGGTCTCTAACCATCGAGCACTATCATCTCGTGGACCCCAACCAGGTAACCTACATTTGCCAACATGACTCAGTTCACTTGTCAGTGACTTTATGAATTTGTTCCTTGTTTTGGTCTGGCCGCCCCTAGATTTCTTCCAACCTATTCTTACACCGCACAGTATCGCTCGACGAGGCAGTCGCTGGTTGGGCGTACGTAACACATCTTCCAACCACTTCAACTGATGAAGTTTCATTACTTCATCTATTGACCTGTCATCTTTACCTAGCACTTATTACTTAGCATCAGTATTGCTTACTCGGCTGTCCCACGGTGCTCGATCAATGCTTCGAAGACACCTATGATCGAGAACCAGTAACCTACGAATATCTTCTAATCTGACTGGCCATGTTTCACAGGCATAAAGTAGGATGGAGCGAACTACTGCATAGTACACTTGTCCTTTGGTCATCAAACGGATATCTCGCCTTCGCCTTAAGTGACGCAGGTTGGCAAAAGCCATTCGAGCTTCATGTATCCGAGCTGAGATTTCGTCAGTCATCAGGCCATCGGAAGTAACATCCGCCCTCATACTCGTAAAATCACACGTGACCGAATCCAACCTGTTTGATTCGAAGTAAAGCTCACCATTTTAGTGGACGAATGATCGAATGTGCAATGAAATAAATCTTGTCCATTTCCTTATATCAATATTTAAGTAAATGAGAATGGTAAGTGTATAGACAAAGCGAAGCGAATAGGAGAAGGCGAGTAAGCCAACAACTCTCCGTATGCTGAAGAATGACTAAGTATTTAAAAAAGTCAGGTAATAATAGGCTAGACAGGTAATAAGCCGAGTAATCACACACAATCAAATATATAATAATCGATACGCCTGTTGGTCGAATTATTACAAATATAATTAATGGTTGATACAGATATCGAATAATTTAAGCAACTGATCATTAAAGTTAGTATCGTGAACAATCATCAGTGAAGGTCTACACATTCACCAATGATGATTATCTTTGTTACAGATTCATTCAACTGAGATCAATTAGTTTTGAATAAGGCATCAACTATTTGAACAGAAAAAACATTTGAATTGTATTCTCAAGGTTATTATGGTTGCTATTTGAGGATCTATGCGTCTGAAGGCATTTACCTAGATTCTATCTAAGGTCAAGCTTAAAGGCCTACATTTTTACAAACTACAACAATATTTGATAGGTTGCTGCATCCCAGAATCGTTAGAGTTATTTTTAGTGCCTTTTATTAAGCTATTTTGAGATCATGGATCGATAGATGTTAGATCACCATTAGAAACCTGGAAGCACTGAAAGACGGAAGTTTCGTTCTAGTATGTGACTCATCAGTGGCAGTGCGTATTCATGAATTTGGCAACCTACAGGACCTTTGAACATGCATGCGAACGCCTAACCTCTGGATAAATGAGCCGGTATCTATCAGTGTTAATGTCTTCCAGATTGCTAATGGTGTTCTAACATTGATCGATTCATGATTTAAACAAAGTACGAACTCAACTATCTCTGTAACTCTCTCATACAAGTTTTTTTAATAAATGACAATTTTAAATGTACACTAAAATTGTGAAACGTGTTGACTAAGTTAGGAAATTATTAGAAACATTTTTATTTGGTTGAAGACACAAACATTTTATTATTAAGCTGTTCACAGAACAGTATGTACTTACTTACTTACGCCTGTTACCCCCAATACAGCATAGGCCACCCACCATTTTTCTCCAACCAACTCTGTCCTGGGCTTCTCTTTCTAGTTCTTTCCAATTTTTCTTCATTCTTCTCATGTCTTTTTCTATTTCTCGGCGTACTGTGTTCCTTGACCTTCGTCTTTTCCTTTGACCTTGAGGGTTCCATCTGAGGGCTTGTCTTGTGACGCAGTTCGGTGCTTTTTGCATTTTGTGTTCTATCCACTTCCACTGCTTCTTCCTGATTTCCTCCTCCACTGAAATCTGGTTTGTTCTCTCCCACAGTAGGTTGTTGCTGATGGTGTCTGGCCAACGAATCCGAAGTATTTTACGTAGACAGCTGTTAATAAACACTTGTATCCTCTGGATGATGGCTTTGGTAGTTCTCCATGTTTCCGCTCCATATAGTAGAACTGTCTTGACATTTGTATTGAAAATCCTGATTTTGGTTTTGGTTGAAAGTTGTTTGGAGTTCCAGATATTTTTCAGTTGTAGAAATTCAGCCGTTGCTTTGCCAGTCCGCGCCCTCACATCTGCATCGGATCCACCTTCATTGTCGATGATGCTGCCAAGATATGTAAGGGTGTCAACGTCCTCCAAGGCATCTCTATCAAGAGTGATTTGGTTGGTGCATCTGAGAATTTCGCTTTTCCCTTTATTTATGTTGAGATCAACTGCTACTGAGGCTACTGCTACACTGGTTGTCTTTTCTTACAATTGTTGTTGCGTGTGCGATAGAAGAGCTAGGTTATCTGCGAAGTCCAGATCGTCCATCTGCATCCTAGCTCTCCATTGAATACTGTGCTTCCCTCCAGATGTTGATGTCTTCATAATCTAGAACAGTATGTAGTCTTCATTAAAATAAATAAGTGATTAGTACCTGACTTAAACAAATCTCATCTGGAGTTATTTTTAAACGAAATTCTATCTTTTGTTTCCAAAAAACAACAACATCTTACAATACTATTTGTTTACATAGTCATGAAATACTTTTCACTGTAAATATGGCATAGTTTAAATACCTAAAGTTAAAATTCCATTTTAAGAATGTGTCGCGTTGGCAGTATCTAGATTAGATTATAAACTATTGATAAATGTCCTGTAGGTGTAATTCTAGAACGGTAAACGCAATATTGGCGAGCACAGAGTCTATGGGTAAGCTATAGTCACACACAAGACCAATTTTGCGTTTACCGTTCTAGAATTACATCTGTTGTAGGACAAATTAAATCCTACAAAGTTTCGACCAATATATAGCGTGTCTTATGGAAATGAGTACAGTTATGAGTCACATCAATATAATAAGATAATAATAATGTCCTTCAATTTGTAGGTCATTTACAACAAAGAAAGTTTACAGACATGTCAGATCAGATCACGTGATGGACGCTTAAACCACAATTTGATTGGTTAGTTATCGACATAACTACAATTAGTTATGGAAATAACTAACAGTAGTATGTCATTTATTTGACTGACGAGCTTTTGCTAATTCATGCTTTCAGTACCTATTTGTATATACTTACTTACGCTGAATTATTTGCTTATGTTGTTATCCGTAGTGGAGCATAGTCCGTCGATCAGCACTGGCTCACCTATTCTGTCTTGGGTCTTACTTTTTCATTCTATCCAATTTTTGTTCATTCTTCTAATGTCTATCTCTGAAACTCGAGGATTCTAAGTGAGGACTTGTCTTGTGATGCAGTTGGGCGGTTTCCGCAATATTGTGTCCTATCCACTTCCAGTGCTTCTTCCTGATTTCTTCTTTCGCTGGAATCTGGTGTACAGGATGATATTTGATTTTTGAAACAGTTCGTGTTTCAGTTTTATCCCTCTGTTGTTTCAAGCCTTTGGTATTGTATCAGTTATATTTATAATTTGATTGTTGATTTCACCAACCAGTATAATTAAGTAGTATGTATCATTGTGTTTAGTCCAGTAGAAAACCTAGATCAATTTCCTTGAAGTCCTTTAATGGTTATTACTCATTTAATTATAAGTGAGCTGATGAATTTTTTCCTCATATAATTGCGGGCGTGAATTTCTCATATTCAATGCTCGTTAATGCGATAGCTTCGTTTGGAATCAAAAAGTCAAGCATTAGCTACGACGTATAACTCTGTACGTACCGTAAATCAGTTCAAGTTGCCATACCACACATTAGCACACACAGAGATGTAATTGTCAATGAAAATCCCATAGCCATAGAGGTAGTAGAAGTATGAGCAGTAATCGGACAGATTAGGATTTGAAGTTATTATTCAAGAAGTATAATTCAATGAACCTAAGAAGCAAAAGATTTGAATGATGAAGGAATCAGAAGATTGGAATTTGAGAGAACGCAAACAGTGGATGCACCTGCGTCATTGTGAACGATGTCTTTCAAGGTCTCCAAACATCGATTTTTATCATCTCGTGGACCCCAACTAGGTAGTCTACACCTACTAACATGACTCAGTCCAGTTGTCAGTGACTTCTTGGTTTTGTGCCATGTTTTGATTTGGTCACCCCTAGCTGGAATAACAAAAAAGTGAACTGGATGCAAACATAACACACTTCTAATTCGATAATTACAATCAGATTAGAAGTGAATGTTATTTTTAGTTGTTAAAACAATAAATGCTTAGTTTATCTGTGAAAAAGTACTCTAGTGTATATATTGTTTGCATAGAATAGGAAGGATGTGATTAACGCCAGAATCCAGGGTGCATGTTTCGTCCTCTTAGGAATTCGTCAGTCTGTATCTCTCTATCGCAGAGTTGATGTTCGCCC